AACATATTTAAAACAAAAAATCAATAATTAATTTCGAAATTCTTTTAAAAAATTAAAGCAATAAACTTTATCAAGCGGAATCATAATTCTAAACGATTAACAAAACTTATAATTTGCAATTTGTTTTTATAATAGAATTTCGTAGATTATTTTTAGAAAATAAAAAAAAGACAGCTTTACATCGTCAAGAAAAATATAAAACGAGTCATATCTGGTAAAGCATCTTTAATTAAGAACATAAAAAAAAATCGTTAATCTAATTCTATGGAACAATCGTTACTGTAATTAAGAAGATAACGAGGATATAGGTTTAAATACTATAAATAAACTATTAATAAAAACATGATAAAACAAGAAAATCAATTTATCCATTGGCATCGTTATAAAAGTATGCAAAAATAAATAATGATGAAGTGCCTTAATGGATTTATGAATGATTCATTTCCTTTCTCTGTAACAAACTTCCTCTAATGCAATATAATTAATAGTGGTATTTCAAGGGTGTTACAATGTGTATTAAGTATTTTATGAAGAACGTTGTAAACCTTAATGATAATTAATGTACTCGCAGAGCGTTAAAAGTTGAAATTTTGTATATTGAATTGCTAAAAACTTTCTTCATTAAAAAAACAATTAGAAAATGTAAATATTTCAGATAATTACTACATGTGATATGGAAATTCATTTTACAAACTGAAATTTTAATAGCGTTTAAAACATTCGATTTAATTGTAAATGATAATTATTAAAAATTAATGATTCTTAGATACAATTTATCACTTTTTCATAACAAAGTCGTATAACAGATGCCAAAAAAACAGTTCCAAACTTGTGTAACGATTATGTTTTGAAATTAGAACAAGAGAAAAACAATATTTAGCTTTATAACATGGCTTAAAGTAAATATTTTTTANATTATATGGTATTTGGCATGTATATATAATGTTAATACAAAATTGATATATAATAATAATAATAATATATTTATTAGTCATATTAGGCAAAGGCCTGTTATTAAATTGATATATAAAAACACTATTTAAAAAAATATATAAATTACATTAAAAACTTAAGTGAATTTTAATTAATGTAACGAGGTATTTATTAGTTTAATTTTTAAAGCTAAAAGTCGTGTTAAAATTAATGTGATTAATTAATTAAGTAAACGATTTTGTTGTAAGGCGTTTAATTAACAATAACTTTTTGGTTTGGTTAGCTATAAAAAGCAATTAGACGTAATTTGAGTTATAGGAGCACGTTTATTATTGTAAGTAAAGGTCTGGAAGAAAATTCGAAGTGAGCAAAGCAAACAGCTTGGGTTGTGACGTCAATGATTTGATTTTCTTCGTGACAGCACAGCGTTCATTAAGGCCAATTACTGATGCTTTGCGTGTTCTAGAACTAGAGTTCACAGACTGGAAACACAATCTTTCGTTCACTTCAATTGTCCTAAAGGAGAAAAGAATTGCCTGTTTTCTTCCATCAGGCGAATACGCAGCTAAAAACGTCGCAAAACATTTTCATGACATCCTCACTTGAACAAATTCAATCAATGCTTTTTATACTATACTTCATTTGTTTAGACAGCTAAATGGTTTTTTTTCAAAATCCTATCTAATTAACCAGTTGGAATGTTTGCAAAACATGCAAAACTCGAATTTGATTTGGTTTTTAAACAAAATAAATGTTTTGTAATCATTTTTAATTTAAAATAGATATTCCTTAGACTCGGTTCTATTTGATTTCTAATTACAAGTACTTTAAACTTTAAAAAACACATTTTTATTAAAAAACAGGAATCAATGCGAATTAAATTATGTCATTAATTTAAGTCTCGTGATAGGAAATGTAAGAATTTATCAAATTTTATATCTGCATTATTAGATTACATAACAGCAGTAGTTGGCATGACAATGGAAACTACTGCTGTTATGTCAAAATGTTACTTGTAATAATATAATACAATTGTATTATATTATTACAAGTAACATTTTGACATATCACATAATAAATCCATTACAACATCTTATTCAATGATTGAAACATTAATTTATGCTAGTAAAACATTAATAATATTAATTTCATATACATACATGCATACACTTACGCACAGAATATTATTTAATAAGAGCTGATATTAATTTATTAATATATATTATATTACGTTATTAAAAATACTTTTATAAAGTTTATTTACAATATTATAAAATGTAGATATAATCAGTACTAGCACAATTACATATTGTATATTTTACAGTATAGAAGAATGGAAAATACTAATAAAGCAAAAAATTAGACATGGTTGGTTTTAATTGAAGCCAAAAAGTAAAACTAAACCTTATACTGAGTAAGAAGAATTCCAGTTTTTAGAGATTCGATAAAAACAATAAGATAAAAAAAGTGAAAGGAATGTTTCTTGGTCAGTGAAAATACAATTGTTCATAGACTTTTTCTGGTTTTTAAAGTTTTTCATTTGTTATATAGGTCTTTACTGCTTATGAAGATAATAAATAGTTAATGCCATTATTTTATTATTATACAAATTATTTTAAAACTGTGCATTCTTTACAATCTTAAAATTTCAAGTTAAAATACATATAAATATAATCTATAATTCATATGCATACGCATTTTTAATAATAGTTTTAAAATACTCAATAGTAGAAACTACGTATATGATACTTATATTCTCAGAAATAAATGTAACATCGAATTCAAAAAAATAATAAACGAAATAATCAAATAAAATTTATATCAAAATTCCTTAATATATTGTTTTATATTTTTATGTATGATTTCATATTTTTATTATAAATAAAAAAAAATATTCATTTCTGACCATTCAAACAATGCATAGAAATGATAAACCAAGCGATAAATAATAGAAGAAAGTTGAAAATAAAAAGAATATTAAAAATAAACGCGTAATAACTTTTAGTTCCGATGGTCAGAATAGCGTTAGTTCATATATCAAATTACAAAACGATTCCCTCTTCCTGGAGGAAGAGTTGCTGAGTTGTCTTCTGAGGTCACGTTTCTAAGTTTGCATTGGTATCATAAAAAACTGCATCACAGACAGACTATTTTTTTTTTCTTTGTCGACAAGAAATCAACCGAAAGTACAACCAAAAACCTCATGTGGTGAACGAAAAACGTCTTTTTTTCTAGCGTAAATAATGTTTCGGTAAGTGGAAAACTACACGTCTACCTGAAAACGTTGGAGCGTGTTTTCAATCGTGTGAAGTGGTTTGTTGGTAAATTACTCAACTCCGTCCAAAGAATCCAACAAGTAAATATAATCCGAGCCAAAAACATCTTGGTTAATTTAGTATATAAATCATGTGTAAGTATATATTACTATGATGCATTTATCAATATTTTTCCTAGCTCTTAGATCATGTTTTACTTAGTGAAAGCTTCTTTTTTTATTTTTGTAAAATATTATCATTATTGGTATACATAATCTTTCAAAACAAATATTTATGTAATTTATAGATTTTCTTAGCTAAATTATTTTCTACTAAAAATTTTACATTTAAATCAACAAATTATTATTATTTTTTGTAAAATATTAGCGTTTATTTTTATACAAAGAGATTAAATTAATACCAAATCGATTTTTTAAATGTTGCTTTCTTTATATCACTATCACGAATTTATCCTTAATATCATTTTATCGTGTTTACTTCAATAGAAAGAAGATTCCATTATCGAGTATTATTAAATTATGATTCAAAGCCTTTACTGTAAACCATTCCTATCTTTCACCGAAACTGTTACATGTTGGTTATTACTGACAACATTGATTTTAACAAAGTTTCAAAAATAAATTATCAGAATAGAAACATTAAATCGATACGCGTAAAAATTAATAATTAAATTAGTTTAAAATAAAATTTTAATACAAAATATAATATTCTAAAAATAATTATAAATATATAAAACATTATCATCAAAATATGGAATTTGATGAGCTAATTTTTATTGTTGAATTGTGCTAAAATATATTATTTTCATTATTAATATTTTTATTTATAAATTTATAAATATTTCAATATTAGATGTTTTTTTTCATTTTTTAAATATATTATAATAATTTTTAAGTACTGTGCGTATTAATAGCAAGAAAAATAAACTTAGATAAAGATAATACAATTTATCATATAATTCTAATTTATATAGTTGATAGAGTGTTAGCAATTCGCCTTAAGATAAAGTAATTTATCGTATTAAACATAGTTGCTTCAGACAAATTCTAGGATTAACTTTAATGGGAACAAGTTAGCCAGATAATCCTCATTTCTATTGCATATTAAATTAATTTTGGTTTAAAGCTATTTAAAGCAACTTCCTATTAACTAATGTACAGATGGTTCAAATAATTGTTTTGATATTAAATTTTCTTATAATTTAAATGAAATTTTCTTAATAAAGAAATCGTAATAATGATTTTTATTACTTTAAGTAGATTTAATTTCTAACAAATTATAATTACAGTATAAAAATTTTTAAAGCATTTAATGTAATTTTTCTTTTATGTTATGTAAAGTTTTAAAAAATATATTTTTTTGATAATACTTAGTTTTTAGTAATATTTTTAAATGTATAAAATTTATATTTACAAATTTTTAAATACAAGAAAAAATTAAAAACAAATTACCATAAAAATGCAGCATAAAATATACCTTTTTTATTTGAATAAAATAAATTAAGAAATTAATGTAAATAATTTAAGATTAATTTTGTTTTAATTTAATTAAAAATAATGTAAAGTATTGAATTCAGAAAAATGTGACCGCAAAGGAATTTCTATATATATCTGTAAATAGGGATAAAGGAATGATATAACTGATCTTGTCTAAACGGATTCGCGGTAATAAATCTCAGAAAGGAGATGGCATGTTCCTATTGACAGGAAAAGACTCCTGCAGAGAAGAATAGTCAATAAATTATTTGTTAATCCGACACGAAGGGTATTGGCTACACCATCAACCACCTACCTATTTTAGAAGCATGGAAACTATCATGCTGGCTTAGTCTTCTGATCTGAGGTGAAAGTCTTGATTTTGGAAGAATACTGTTATCGGTATTGATGCGATCGATGGCATATCGGAAAGCCAATTCTTGTTCGTCGTCATAAATATCGAATATTCCACCTAAAAATTATACTCATTAATATAAACCATAAAGAAACTTTTCCAAAGTAGTTGTACACACAACTTAGTAAGATAGAAAAAAATATTTTATCATAAGATGTGATTTGGAAT